GGGCCTTGGCGGAGAAGCCGAGCGGTGCCCAGCCCGCAGACGGCCCCAAGGCCCCCGGGGAGCAGGACAGGCGGCGTGTAGATGAGCACCCAGCCTGTCCGAAGCAAGAAGCCCTGCTCCCTTCCAAGTTCCGGCCCCTGCAGACATCCGCCATGGAGACCTCGCGCTCCCCTTCTCCTCAGTTCGCCCCCCAGAAGCTGACGGACAAGCCCCCCCTGCTCATCCAGGACGACAGCTCAACAAGGTAGGGCCCTGGGAAGGTGGCCTCTGCATTCTTCCCCTTTCACAGGCTCCCTTCTGCCTGTGGGAGGTTTTCCATGCACCCTCCCTTCCCAGTGCACACCCTCCCTGCCCAGGGCGCGCGATCCCTGCCCAATGCCTGCCCTCCCTGCTAAATGCCTGCCCTCCCTGCTCAATGCCTGCCCTCCCTGCCCAATGCCTACCCTCCCTGCCCAATGCCTGCCCTCCCTGCCCAATGCCTGCCCTCCCTGCTCAGTGCCTGCCCTCCCTGCCCAGTGCCTGCCCTCCCTGCCCAGTGCCTGCCCTCCCTGCCCAATGCTTGCCCTCCCTGCCTAGTGAGAGCCCTCCCTGCCTGGTGCGCGCCCTCTCTGTGTGGTGTATGACCAGTGCCTTGCTCTGCCCAGAAGTCGGACTTTCCCTTGGTCTGGAAATAGCACGGAGGGGCCCAGAGCTCCTGCGGTCCCTGGATTCTAACTTGTTGGGGAGCTGCTGTGAAGGAGGGAATAGACCACCCTCAGCCCCTTCATCCAAGCCCCAAACCTTATATGTGCGATACCCGCAGGCACCTAGGGACAAGGGCTGTGTTTATTTCTAAGTGCTTTCTGATTGTGATCATAACCCAGTGTAACCCTGACATGAGACCTTTGGTTGAAATTGGTGTTTTTCGTAATGTCCACTATGTCCATACCTCTTTTTGTCTAGATCTTTTTGTTTTGTTTTGTTTTTTGTGAATAATTTTTCCATTGATTTTTAGAGAGAGTGAAGGGGAGGGAGGGAGGAGGAGAAAGGGAGAGAAACATCAATGTGAAAGAGACACATGGATTGGTTGCCTTCTGGGAGCATGTGTCCTGACCCGGCTGGGAATAAAACCTGCAGCCCAGGTACATGCCCTTGACCGGGAATCGAACACAAAACCCTTGGTGCATGGGCTGGTGCTCTAACCAGGGCATGTGCCCTGACCGGGAATCGAACCGTGACCTCCGGGTTCATAGGTTGACGCTCAACCACTGAGCCACGCCAGCCAGGGCAGCACAGCTAGCCTTTTAAAATCTACTCACGAAGGCAGCATTATGGGGACCATCTGCGAACCCCTAGATTAAACACATCTGCTCCCCCTGGTTTCCACTACATGGGAAGGAAATGCACAGCTGTTTCTTGTCAGCCTGCACACCACACCCTCATGAGCGGGGAGAGATCCCTCCTGTGCTCCCAGCCCCAGGGACAGGGTGCGACAGCAGGTGATGTGGGGCGCGCAGCACCCCGTGCTCCATAGAGTCGGCTCTGTTAGGCTCACGTTGCAGATCTGATGTTAAGCCACCGAGTTAGTTGAAGATGGTGCCCATCAAGATCGTGCACTCGGAGAGCCAGCCCGAGGTTGTGACTTGGGCTGGATTTTTCCTTCCTTCCTGGGCGCCAGGAGGTGGCTCTCTGTCTCCGATAGGTCCTGTGAAAAGACTTGGAACACCTTGGTCCTGCTGGCCCCTCTCGCAGGGTCCCCCGGGGCGTGGTCCTGTGAGGCGCAGCCCAGGGCACCAGCCAGCATTCGGGGCGTCCTGGACGCAGCCCCGTTCTGTTGTCTAGGCTGTTTCTTTCCATTTTCTGTCTCTTTCCTGTAGGGATTCCAGGTGCTGTCCAGCTTCTTGTACCAAGAAACTGTTTTTTAAAAGGAAAAGTGTGGCCCTAGCCGGTTTGGCTCAGTGGATAGAGCATTGGCCTGTGGACTGAAGGGTCCCAGGTTCGATTCCGGTCAAGGGCAGGTACCTTAGTTGCAGGCTCCTCCCCGGCCCAGGCCCTGGTCGGGGCTCATGCAGGAGGCAACCAATGGATGTGTGTTTCTCACATCGATGTTTCTCTCTGTCTTTCCCTCTCTCTTCCACTCTCTCTAAAAATCAATGGAAAAATATCCTCGGGTGAGGATTCAAAAACAAAACAAAAGCAAAGTGTGTGCTTAGTGACTCAGTCCAGATAACAGGGGAGCAGTGCGCCCGTTTGGTGCCAGGCCCTCGGCTCCCTGGTATGCCAGCCGCGCGAAGGGTGGCTTCAAGTGCTGGGTGGCGGCATGCAGGCGCGAGTGGCAC